AGATGCATTAACACCTGACACGAAGAAACGTATTTATGAGTTCTGCTGTAAGCCTGGTATTTCTCGTCCGACTGGTAACAAGGCAGATATCAAAAGGGTCCGCATTGGTCCGAAAACTTATTCAAGCCACATGACACACATACTAGAAAAAACACAGACCGATGTGTATTTGGACTTTATCGGAGAAAACCCCTCTATTAAAATAGCTCAAAGAATGTTCGAAAGGTGCAAACCCTACTTTGTGCGACCCGTCCGACCTAAGGATAGACAAACATGTTGCTGCAAGTACCATGTAGAATTTAAAACTGTCTTTAAATCGTGTATGGAATTCCGAAAGAAACTTTTGATAGAAAATGAACCGAATGAATGCTATTCTACTCCTGTGTACGATTCAATATCTGATGTCGTTAATGCAACATTATGCGAAAAAGTTGATGGTTCACACAATTTACAGTGCCTTAAAAGAAACTGTTCCGATTGTGGAGTTAAAATCTTGAATTTTCTGCCTTGTGAACTTGATGTATCTGACACTGCGGAATTTGTAAAGTGGGAAAAGTTTGAAAATGTAAGCGTTAATGTTAAAGGGAACAAAACCATAAAGAAACTAATGCTCGTGAAAAAAGAAAGTCAAGTTGGTGAATTGTTTTCATATTTCAGAAAACTAATTGAAACTTTTCCAGTGCATCAGCACAGAGCTACATGGCAAAATGAACAATTTCAAAATCTTGTTAGAAATCTCCCAGAAAAGCAATGTGTTTGTGTGCATGACTTTAGTGAAAATTACAGGTGTTCCGAGCTTACTGAGATTCAAAGTGCTTACTTTCAAAAAACCGAAGTGTCGGTCCATGTTACTATTCTACATAGACATGCATTGCTAGAATACGATGGTGTTGATAGTTCAGAAGACTTTCCTGAAATTATCACGGAACAATTTTTCGTTATAAGCCCAGACTTAGTTCATGATCAATACTTTGTTCACCAAGTCCGAAATTATATAGCGGAATATTTACAGTCGATTTCATATTCAGTAGAAACAATGCACGAGTTTACTGACGGGTGTGCAGCCCAGTATAAGAGCAGACACTGTTTCGGAGATATTAGTCAAACAAGCGACGACTTTGGATATCAACATTTCACAAGAAATTTCTTCGAAACTTCCCATGCAAAAGGTATTTATAATAATTTAGTTTATTATCCTCGAACTTACTACTATGATTGCCTTTAAATACAGTTGAATGTCAGTCCGTCTGTCAGTCTCTACGCTAGATATCTTGGACACAGATTTAATGATTTTTCTCACATTTTCAAGTACAATGGAATACATATTATTTAGCTTTTGATTGAATATTTATGAGTTATTTGTGTAAAATGTAAATATTTTAAAAGCGGTCGGGTATTCACATTATCGGTAAACTGTTTTCTTTCAATCCGTCACATTATGGGTTAATGTTTGAAAACATTATTCTAGAAAGTTTTTTTTTTTACATGTTTTTTTTATTATATCGAATTTGAAATAAATGTATTTTGATAAAACATGTGCGTCGGACTAAATTACACCTGACACAAAAATAAATACGTTGTATCAAGGAACAGGGCTTTTATTTCTGTTCTTCATCTTGACAGTCGCTGTAGGGTATTCAATGTATCTCTTATATTTCTCGTGACTTTCGGTATTGTTACTATTATAAAAATCATAAACCTTGAACGCGGTAAAATGGTAAGAACCAATGTCATGCAGTTGACATAAAAAACTTATCTGTGCATTTCAGGACCACAAGACGCTGCTGGAGGAATTATTAAGAGACAAGCCGACTGTGTCATTTTACGCGGACAGACTCAGATAAGGACAGCAAAAGATCTCTATGAATACGCGAATTCATTTCTAACACAACCGAGGTCACATTGTAAGAGAAGAATATTCCGATATGCGGAAACGATTCACCGTGACAACAGACTGTCTTTTAAGCCGGTGCCTAGCATTCGATCTCTTCACCAAGTAAGAGCTAGTCGTGATTCTGCTAAAAGATTGATAAATATCAGTGAATTGTCTTGTTTCTGTGTAAACTGCTGTCATCACATGTATGACCAGTGTTCTAATTCGATAAAAACTGGTGGTTATACTGAATTGGAAATGAAGCGAGAATACAGAGCGGATGCACAAGAAAATGAAGAAAATGAACAAGTGTCTTTGCAAGAATTAGTTTCGGTTGGTCAATTAGTTGCGTTATATACTGACGACGATGAGGAGGAGTACTACATGCTGAAAGTAGAGAAAAGCATGGAAACGTTACGCATTGACACAACGGATTCTTGGGGATCTTTACTCCCTGCGGGAACACCTGTGTTTCGTGGTCTATATTACAACAAAACGAACTCGCCTTTTCAATATCGTCTTGTGAACAGGAAAGCGGTTGTACCTGCTGCGTCAGTGGTCTATATTTGTTCGGAAGTAACCGCAAACAATGTCATTCGAATCACAGAAGAAACACATTTAAATGTTTTAGAATGTATTAATGAAATAAAATGCTAGAAATTTATTAATCAGTACTTATCCCTATAAAGAAACAGTAGTTATAGAAACCAATAATATATGAAAATATATACATGTACATGTAGGGAATGCTTTAAAGAGGTAAAAACGAATGGGGGGACAATCGTGACAAACATAAATTCATACGTTCGTTTAACAACAAGCCACTTGGATAAAACGTCAGTCAAAAAGTGTATTTCGACGAAATAGTATGGGATTCATCATTTTTATTCCTCAAGGAATTATTGGTAAGGACTTTTTGTTTCATTATGAATATTTGTAATGAAATGTCCATAATAAAGAGACCAAAGGGACGTCTGTTATAAGGAACAAAATATACGTGGACTATAGTGGACATCAGTACTATGCAGTTTAAACACAAGATTCAATTGGTACTCATGTAATTTAAATCTTTAAATCACTTTTGTGTTTTGATACGATACCCGAATTTAAAGTCTAATTTGTCAACCTCATCGTCGAGAAGACTTCAACAAAGCAATAGCATTGTTATAAGAACGATAACTCTACAAATATATCAGGAAACAATTAACAAGTATAAACGTTTTCGTTGAACAAGAAGGTTGTGTTACGTCAACGTTGTTATTATTGACGGTACAATGAGCCTTGATAGATACGACATGACAACGGCATGAGACTAGGTAAGGTTTATTAGTTTAGAAGGGACATAAAAAATTTAGCCTTGCTCACCGAATAGCTAAATATCGTATGTAATATACTTCTAAATTAAACGTAAACACAAATTGTGGAAATCTCCTTTTTTACTCTGATTTTGTCCAGACTCTAAACGATCTAACTGTCATATACAATTAACACTTTTCTACTGTTGCAGACCAAATGTAAACCTACTTGGCGTTGTTGTTGTTTAGTAGCTGTCTCGTTAAAGCATACCACCATATCTCCTTTTTTCATATACATTATGCCTGCCTCTGTTAAATCACATCATTTCTATTGAAAATGTTTGTGCTGTGTCATGAATATTACAGACAGGGTCTAGTTTACTATGAGTGTGTAAGCAAGCTTATTTCAACTTTTAATGGAACCATTTGTCTTTAGAAAAATTTGTCGCTTTCTTTTTTTATGTAAGTGTGACGAGATTGCCTCCCTTGTATAATAGATACTGAGCCAGTCGTAAGTAATTCTTTAGTTCATTCGATAGGGGTGCTGATTATGAACACAAAGGTCCCGGAGGAGAGGATGTGAATCTTCTAAGAATCCTGCTCTCCGGTTTCATTTGGCATCCAACTAAAATACCCGCGGTATTTAGAGGTGATATCTAGCTATGATATGTGTTGAAAGAGTAATAATAATATGATGACTCTTTAGATAGGGCAAGTAGCGTAAGCAGTTGGGCTAGGGAACAAATTATTAAGCTCATTCGATTAGAGCGCTGACTTTGAACACTGAGCTCCAGGAGGAGAAGATTTGATTTTCTATTAAGAATCATGCTCTCTATTCCTACAAGCATTATCAGTACAAACCGTGAAAAAATTAAAGGACTTTCACTAGGCTGGCTAAAATACACGTCGCCACTGATGATAACAGGGGTAGTTACAGAACAGAAAAAAAAATAACAGAGATCAAATGACATAGAAATTAACAACTATATGTATCCGAAAGGCCTTCAACAATGAAAGAAACCCATACCGCACAGTCAGCTATAAAAACACGTTTCTGGTACAAATTCTTATGATTGTGAAATTGAGTAACATCGAAAATTAGAAATGTCATGGACGTTAATATGAATTTACATTGTACTAGTATTTTGAAAATGACAGTAAAGTTGTAAATGAATTTTAGTTTTGAGATTTACATTAAAATGAAGATGCAAGTAAAATATACATCAGCATCCATCGACAATCTACTGTAAGCAGACGGAGAAAAAAATCTACAGCATTTCTGTTAATACGTACTTTCCACATATAAGGTTATGAAATCCAAGTTTAAGTCAATAATACATATTGCGGTAATAGAAAATACGATTAGCTTAGCCAATTTTATGACAGTTTTTTTCTCTCATCGTTGATTTGAGTAATTTATAAAACATATAACAATCTCACTACATTTCATAATCAACAACTTAGATTGTATGACTTCTTATGTGGGTAAACGAAAGAATTACCGTTAAACTGGTAATTTTTATAGAGTATTTAATTGTATTCTAGACGATGTAATATTATGTTGTTAAATAAAAATATTGTTGTGAGTGTTTTGTATACACGTATGAATAAAATATCAACTACAAAAGGATATTTATTTGAAGCGCAAATGAAAATATTTAAATTTGCTTTTATTATCATTGAAACATTAAATTAATGTACCTACGTTTTCAATTCACATAAGTAATTGTCCTTTTATTGCTATAAATTCTTTACTTATCTCACATATTTACAAGTTGAAATTTCTTAATATCTTACATGATATGTTCTTTTTAAACTTTCAATTGAAATTAAACCCTAAAATAGAAGGACCAAAGTTTTATCGATAATTGTAAACCAAGTTATCCACAAATGATTGCAGAGTGTATGTGACGCAGTTGTCGTGTAGGTAATACTTGCGACTGCCAACATCTACGATTTGTTTATTTCAAATTATTTGGAAACGATCCTTGTAGAAGTAAGTTTGCGTATTTTATTCCATTCTTCTCATTTTTTTTTATTTTCATTTTTTTTTAAACTTTTTTGTGATACATTTTTAAGACTGTTATTTATATTCATAGTCATACTAATATAATTGGTGTATTATTTCAAACATGCTAAATGGCAAAAATGATAATCATTGGCACAAAGTACAATAAGCAATAATGAAGCTAGAAAAAAGAGAAACGCCAAAGTGGTGTCAAAAACAGTATATACTTTTTAACAGCTGGGTGCATCAACACAAAAGCTAGAAATAAGACTGTGAGTAATAAATGGCTTTGTAGATTTTCTAAAGGTATTCTTTTTAGTAGTGATAAGGGTTCCAGTCTCTTTAACGTGTGCCCGGCTTCTTCCGCGGATCGTTTGTAGATATTATTCTGAACATACACATATTTGACATTGGACATAAAACAATCATTCATTCCCTTAATTTTATTAATCATTTCGCTAGCAAAAGGTTACGACCCTGTCCCCTTCTATTCCCTTGACTATAGCGAAGATGTTTTAATTTATACGAAAAGAGAATTTAGCTCATTTTTGTGTCTTAGGCAATGCGAATTTTAAATTGTACAGACAACAACAACACAACAACAACAACAACAACAACAATGCCAAGTAGGTTTACATTAAGTCTGCAACAGTAGATAAGTGTTTCTGATATATGACAAGCTAGAAATCGACTAGAGTCTGGACAAAATCTGAGTATAAACGGAGATTTTAAAATGTGTCTTTGGCAATTCAGAATTTTATTGGTTGTGAAAGTAAGATTTTGAATTGACAAATAGAACATTTTGACATAACATAAGGATAGTGTGAAAATATTTAGCTATGTTTGTCAATTCAGAGCATGTTCTTTGGAGCTATCGATGGAAGGTTCATCTGTAAAAAAATATTCAAAAATGCACTAGTTTGTACAGCATGTTAAAACATATAGAAAAAGTTTTTAAACAGGAAGCGAAATTTATTTTATAGTTAAGGAAAGGTATTTAAGTATCTATCAATTTTATTTGATTATATAATACAATGTACATACTACGTTTGTTAATAAAGTTATACAAACTTCAAGTTTTCCTTAGTGTTCAAACAGTATCGAAGTAACGAGTTGATTTCTCGAAACCTTTTTGTCATAAAGACGAAACACATCAAAGTGCATATCATGCCTTATGTAAACATTTCACAGAATAGAAAATTAAGACGTAAATAAAGTGATGTATACTTCCCACTGTTTCCTGCGATATTAGGATCAATGAGACATTAATGTTAGAAAGCTATTTCATTTTGAAATTTTGTACAATTGTGACAGGCACACGTGTGTAAAAAATTAAACAAATACACCTTCAACAATGTGCAAAAAGAAAATTCACTGTTTGTGTAATGTTCGTTTTGATTACCTAAATTTCAGGTCATTTATTTCACAATTGATAGTATGAAAATGTGCGTCATATAAATAATTCTAAAATGTATGATTTCATGGGGTTTAGTCAAAATAAGATGCATTACATTTAGAATTACAGTATTTTATTTTGCAGATATCAGTTTGCGATTGGGTGCTCGTAAATATCCTTTTACGGACCACGGTTGTCTCGCCGTTAACTCAATTTGCAACATCAAATCGCAAATTTACCCCCGCAAATCTTCAAATACAATACTGTTAAATTCCAATGCTAATACACTTGAAACCGATAAAATGGTTGGTTGATAATTTGTTTTCAGTTCACACTTTCCATTCATTGTAGAACTTCAAAACTTTAATCAACTATTATTTTTTTATAGATTCAAGATAGCTAATTCGAGGTCAATGCAATATTTGATAAACGAGTGTTTACTTTCAAATTATTGTTTCAGAGTTTTGAAAAGCTAACACTTAATTTATGGAAACACAATGTTTATTGGTGGGCATGGCTTGAACGTTTTTGGTGCCTCTAGACAACAAAATGTTCCATCAACTGTAACGACTCTCTATCGGCACAGAGCAAGCATGACAAAACTCCAGTTTCTGGGGAGCTTAGTAGAGGATGCTCAGAAGAAGAAACAAGCAGACTCCAAACGACATGTAAAGGGTATTCTAAAAAATGCCATTAGTATGCCAAATCTTGCCGAGAACAGTAATAATCCAAAGATTGACCATAAACAGCTGCGAAATGTTATCAAAAGACAAAAACTTGGATCTAAAGATTACATACCACAAAGGACTGTGAAAAAGACAGTAAAATTTAATGACCCTGTTGGTCGCCTTGGTCAAATAGAATCAAAATATAAATTGTGTTCTGAGATTAATACAGATGAAAGTACTATTAGAAAGCAAAAAAAAATTCAACAAATTTCTCTTCGAAATGCTCAAAACGATGACAAACAAGACAGTTCAAATGTATTAGTTACAGTTGTATACGACTTAAAGATGAAGGATAATAAACTAATAACAAACAAAGAAAGTATAAAATCAAACAACGATAATCAAAAAGCAGAAATTCATGCCGACAACGATCATTCAGAAATGTGCAGTCCGGAAGTGACTCCAAACAAACTTTCAGATGGAGCAAGCGCAAGGGATTCAATAGATTACGGACATGCTCAAAACGGCGATACATTTTTATCGCATACTGTTATTGCACCTGTTCTTTCTCCGACGGAAAAGGAAAAACTTAATAATATTGGTAACCAGTATTTAAAACAAACGTCACCCACAGAAGAATCGTCGAGCTTGAGGCAAAGTGTCGCAAAACCAAAAGACAGTGTTGTTGTTATGCGTTCACGTGCAAAACCGGTGATGTTTACTCGTTGTGTAAACAATTCAATCCCAATTGTAGATGATCCGGTTCATGATACAACAAACTTTTGCGACGAAGAAAAAACATCTCATATTATGCAGTGGCTTAACGACGTCAAAAACGAACAAGAACGTGATGGCTTTTGTACTCTTTTAATATCAGATGGGGAAATCAAGTATTAAAGAAAATCAACCAAGTTATGTTTTGTTTGTATGTGTGAGCTTTCGTAATCGTGCCCATGTTTTTGACTGCTTAATCTCGTTGATAAAAAAGCTGGCATATGTCTTAACATAAATCATTTCCGGAAAACGATGTTTCCAAGAAAACAACTCGTTTTCGATTTAAATCAGCATAAATAGATATTGTTTTGATAATTGAGAGTTTACTTGAAAAGAAAACGGGATTGTTTCTATTGCCGGGAGCTGAGGCAGGGGCAAATATTTTTTTCATAAAATTGTACAATAACGATAAAAGCTATGATTGCAAATGCCGCATGGAAAATTGGTCGTTGACAGGTTTTTTTTCCTGTTTTGTTTAGACCCTTTGGTTTTTGTGCTTTCCGAACGTTTTATAATTTTAGCTTTCCAAACTGTATGTCTCGAGCGTAGCTGGTGAAGGCTTTAAAATAAACACGTGTTGTGAGCAAGTCAAGAAAATCGCTGTTCCTTTTGGTATTCATACTCTAACTGGTATTTTAACATTTACATAGTTCAAATGCAAAGAGTCTATGACTCATCACACAAGAACAATTTAAACAATGTTTCGTGTGTATATCTACCTAATATCCCTTTTCCCTCAATTTTATTTACCTTTATTTAGTAATAAGTAATTCTTCAATTTAAAATTTACCAAAAGGGGAGGTCAAGATTTTTTCTGATTTTTTCCTCCGGATTCATTTTTACTCCGAGGAAAATTACACAACAAAGAAAAGGTGGCAAAACAAAACTATGTTCCGAGGAATTGAATGTTTCAAGGTACATTAAATAAGAAGGACAATGCTCATGGTTGGTATAGAATATAATACAATATTATATGTCTCTGGTTTTATTAATTATTCTCTCCTTAGACAGATTCATTCAACTAACTTAAATATTTCGAATGTGAGTTGAACCTTAAGTATCAAATTTTACAATAAAATAATACTTTAATACTTTTATTAATATATTTATGATGGTGAATATGGACATTAGTACATTCGTCATAGATAATATCCGTATTTATAGTAAGTTTTATTGACATGACATGTCATGCTCTGTGTATTTTAAGACATATACATGTGGTAGACATTATCGATCACACACAACGTTTAAAATATATTTATGAACTGCAGGGCAACTTTTTAATTTGAAAAGCCAATAATGAATCCATGCTCTTACGAAAGCATTATAAAATTGCGATATGAAACACAAATTTATAAGTCAAATATTGATTTTAATTACGTCAACCGATTTCGATCAACAAAATGAAAGAATAAGTAAATATATTCTTTAACAATTAAAATTATAAATAACATCTTCAAACATGATTTCCTGAAATCAGCTGTCTATGGGTAAAATAATAAATAAAAATAAAACGAGAAAGTATGAAATAACAATTACAAAATGAAGACCTTGTATACCAAAATAGTTCGTATCGGTTCTAAACTATTTAAAATACTAGAATAATTATGTTGATGATGCAAGTGTTTACACTTCTGACAGCTTCCGTCAAATGTGTTCATAAAAATACGATGACTGTGTAGGCAATTGATGAACCAGTATCATCAGACGCTCAGAAAAATTGTTAAGCTAGAAATACCAAGGCTACAAACTCATTTTATTTATACCTTAACAAAATAAAACAAAAAAACATTTGATGGTATGATATACACAGGAAACTTGTTAAAAAAAACCAGCGAAATACATGCAAATTACTTTTGGAACAACGATAAGCCAAATAGGTTCCTGTATACCATGAGTTCATGACACAATACTGCCGTATATGGTTAAGATAGCTGTATATTTAGGTTTTACCAAGACATTTATATTTGCACAGCTTTTGGTTATGGTTAAGAGACAGAAATGGTATTTTGAAAAATTCTTAACAATTTATGGGTAACTGGCGTTTTTTTTTATCGCAGTTACATTGTAACAATTTAATAGTCTCCGGATTTTCAACGCGAATTTTGTATATTAAATTTTCAAACTGTGTGTCGGATGGTTTAATATATATTTTACTACATGTACTTTTATCTTTTAAATGGAATTGAAAAGTTATGTTGTAACATAAACGATCCATATATTACTTGTTTTGATCTATAAGCTAACTATAACTCATATAAAGGTTATGAACACAATGGTCATAGATGACAGTAGAATGATATATATGAATAGATTTATTATATCCACTACACGGCAGTCATTCGGTAAATCGAGAAAAAAAGATCGTGAAAGAATAAGTAACGGTGGTCAAGTATTGCGACTGGATCGTAAAAGATCTGTTATATGACCATAAAGGAAACCTTATCGTGCAGACACTTAATGAATTATAATGACAAATATTGGAAAAACAAATCTGTCTGTCAGAATGGTTCAACATTATGATCAGTATCCGAGAAAAATCAAGGTTTAAAGTAAACCGTTTTTTAAATAAAAATGTAAATAAACATGATTTTTTTTTCTTCATATTATGAATGCATACACTATTTTCTTTTAAAAATGTCGTTCCATTTTACTGTTTAAATGGTTCTTACAGTTATTTTGTTTTAATTGAATCAGAAACTTGGAAAAATGTGAATATTTGTAAAACTTTGATATTTCGGATGGTGAAAGATCGGTACAGCTATTTGATGATCGTAAAAAGAATCGTGAAAGATCTGTTGCTGCTTATTTGTTATTGCAAAAATCCACAAAAACGATCAAATCATCCTTTTAACACATAATGACATTATAATTTATATATAAAAATAAGGAGATGTGGTATGATTGCCAATGAGACAACTATCCAAAGTTCAAATGAAGTGGATGTAAGCAATTATAGGCAACCGTACGGCCTTCAACAATGAGAAAAACCCACACCGTGTGGTCGGCTATAAAAGGCCCCGACATGAAAAAAATGAAACAATTCAATTGAGAAAACTAACGGCCTAATTTATAACAAAACAGTTTACGAAAAACAAATATGACAGACACGAACCAACGACAACCACTGAACTACAGGCTCCTGATTTGGGACAGGCACATAAAGAATGTGTCGGGTTTAAACATGTTTGTTAGCGCTCAACCCTCTCCCTTACCTGGGACAGTGGTGTAACAGTTCAACATAAGGACAAACTATAAAAATCCGTTGAAAAAGGTTTATATATAACTCATCAGATGGATACAAATAGAAATACATCTCACAAAAACACAAAGTGGACGTGGATGGGTACTTGTACATCCCAAAACATAAAGACACTAAGTAGACTATTTACAGGATTTGTAATAACATAACCAACACGACGGGTGCCACATGTGGAGCAGGATCTGCTTACCCTTCCGGAGCACCTGAGATCACCCCCAGTTTTTGGTGGGGTTCGTGTTGCTTAGTCTTTGGTTTTCTATGTTGTGTCATCTGTACTATTATTTGTCTGTTTGTCTTTTTATTTTTGGCCATGGTGTTGTCAGTTTGTTTTCGATCTATGAGTTTGACTGTCCCTCTGGTATCTTTCGTCCCTCTTTTAAGTACAGATCTGAGACTACTCGCAGTTACTGACTTAGTTCAAAGCCAATAACAACTAATGAAAAATATCATGTATCTAAGACTAAAATATCAATCAGTATACATCCAACATCTACTGGATTAAGTGTAAATACGTCATTAACAGTCCGAGAAAACATGACCTGGTGCAATGCCAAACTATAAGTATCGACAGATTGTAGTGCCGTGAAAGTACATATGTGTAATATTTAGTATGGTTTTAATTTACTGATAACAAAATCAATATTTACACCAATAAAAACAATATTCAAAGATTTAATTACAATGTTGAATATATTTAATTGCTATATCAAAAGGTTGGATTTTCATGTCTTATTCCGCTTCATGTTTGTTTGTGAATAGGGATATGATGGTTCAATGTCATTGGATCTCATTATTTGATAATACCACACCGACTAGTTGCCCTATAACAATTTAAGTCATTCTGTCCGTCCTGCATAAGTTTTATGTCATATGAAAAGTTAAGATTGTCTCATCTGATTTTCATTATTGTTAATGCATAGTCATATCTATAAAACGAAGATCCTTGATGATGTTTGTAAGAATTGGAAAAAAACATTGTTTAAAAAAAACACAGGAAAACAACTGTCATATTCCTGACTTGACACAGGCATTTTCGTAAGAAAACGGTGGTTTAAACCTGGTTTTATAGCTAGCTAAAACGACCACTTGTATGACAGTTGTTTATTGTTACCATGGTAAAATTGCCAAATTGGGTGAGCAACCCAAACAGGCATAATTGGTTAGCGTGGCCATAACTGGGATCCAGCAGTCAAAACTGTGTAAACATACACCACAGACATACAACACAACTGAAATAAACATCAAACACACTTAGAATGAAATCAAACAAAGACGCCAACAAAGAAAAGTTTTTTTAGTTGATAATATAGTCAGTATAGAAAAGCATAATGACATATACACTTTCCCGATAAAATACATAAACAGTAAAATATAAATGCAAGGGTATAAAAATGAAAGCAACACTATAAAAATCTCATGTGTCCAAATCACATCTCTGGACCCACCCGCATAAAAAACGCCAAAAGCCAAAAACCTGAAAGCTAGTTGCACATATACCGAATCACGTCAAGAGACATACGACCAAATGGAACTTAATAGTACAAAGACAAATAAAGGTAAAACTGTGACATAGATAAAATTCTACACAGAGTCAGCACCTAGAATCTATTACTTAAGACCATCCTGTATCATTTGTGAGGTAGACACTGAATATTAATCTATTAGGTCTTGGCACTTTCCAATGAACTTTAAGGGAAAAAAGGACGAGACGTTCTTTCACAAAAACCTGGCTCATTAAGTTTTTGCTCAGACACTGATGACATTTTACAAATTCTGAGTAGCTGCAAGCTCCTGAATATCGTTTGAGTTGAGAAATATATACTCCATACGCGGATGAAGTTGGTAAACTACTGCTTAGGTGAGAAAATTATATAATTTC